AATTGATGTTCTATTTTTAACCGACTTTAAAACAGGAGGAGGCTCTCATTTAGAATGTATTTTTTGTGTATAGGTATGTTACGCGATTGCTACAACATTTTGTGAACCGATTTCGATGGTACTTTTTTTATTTGAAAAGGGATATCTTAGTAGTGGTCCTATTCAAATTTGAAGAAAATATTCTACCTCTAAGGGTGGCAAATTAAATGATATATCCGGTTTACTGAATTTCATCCACGTTCCGTTAACAGATTTCAATATTTTTCATTTTGTAGTGAATTTTAGTAGCATCAGAGCTCCTTGTGAAAGGAAGTACTGCCAACTTACCTATTTCTGCCGCCAAGCTGTAATTTCACCATTACTGTGTTCCGGTTTCGAAGGGTAAGGGTGCTGGTGAAATTACAGGCATATGGGACTTGTCAACTTATGTCTCAGGGTGACGGGCGCAGTGGCAGTGCCCCTCAGATCTTTGCGATTTAATGCTTATGACGTCTTTTTTTTATTAAGCATATAATAATAATTATCTTTTTCCCACTGTTGGGCACGAATCTCCTATCAGGCAAGTACATATAATACCATCTATTGTTGATTACGACGTTTTTACGAAATTAAATTGTGTACATGAAAAAGCCACGTTGAATATCTATTTAGTTCTACTACTCGTTAATAGATGACGTAGCATGATATATAGCATTTTATTTTCTCGGAATGTAATAAGCAATTTGTATGACAAAGATAAGTAATGTTCTGCTATAAGCTTGTCACTCTTTTTCTAAAATTTTGCACTTTGGAAAATGTTGTCCACAAAACCGTTATAGTCAGACGTCAAATATTTGTCAAATTATGAAAACAAAGGGTGAAAGTGTTGTATTTGTATTTATTTTTTCTGTATATTCAGCAATATTTAGTGGTTTTTATCAATAAAACATTATGTCTATAACATTTTCGTTGTTGGGCGATGACTTGTATACTTACGATTACTTTGTTCAAGACGACGTTTGTCGATTTTGTTGGAACCAAAACGCAGATCAAGAAATCTTCATAAAATCTAGAGAAAACGACGTAGAAAAGAAAGATATGCTATATTATAAAATACAAGATTGTTTAAACATCGAATTGAATGTAGGAAATTGGCCTAATTACCCAAATAAAGTCTGTATAGACTGTTGTACAAAAATCGAAAATTTTCACAACTTCAAGCATTTTTGTCAAGAAACTAACAGAAAACTCTATGAAATATTCAAAAATCATAATAGTAACACCACTACGGAACTACCGGTACCTAATCCAAATGTAAAAATCGAAAAGACCGACGAATTTCCTAATTTAGATTTATCGAGAACAGATTCTTTCGATGGCTTCCTAGACAGCCTCCAAAACTCAGACCACGACTACATAAGCCAAGAAGACTATAAACCTATTAAGAAACACTTAAAAACGTCCAAATACAAACATAAACGCACATCTACTTACTGCAATATATGCCATACAGATTTGAAATCTGATGAAAATTTTACTTCACACAATTCCAAATTCCATGGTGTTGAAAACAAAGATCAGTTTAAATGTTTCGGATGTGAGAAACGATTCAAAAGCCGTAAAACACGTCTTGGGCATGAAATAAACTTCTGCAAAGGCTTAAAGGATGGATATAAGTGTGCTACTTGCTTAAGATTTTTGCCTAAACGTAGAATGTATGAGGCACATATGAAGGACCATAGAGAGAATGAAAACGTAGAGCTCCCAGATGATTTGTTTAAATGTATAAAATGTTTTAAATTGTTCAAGTCGAAGGAGAAATTGAAATGCCATATGATTGTACATGATGGGGAGAAAAAGAATTTTGTTTGCGAGGTAAGTTTATTTTATCATTAAAACAACATTAACCCAAAGAGAAATTCCTTCTATCTGCCTGGATTTAAACCTCAGTTGTCATTGTTCAAGTGCTGGTGCTGCGTATGTATTGAGGAGAACCAATTTCCGAATAGTTTTATTATCATTTAGATTATCTTTTCCATGGCTGACCATGCCTTAGCAGGTGCAGCATCTGGCACATTGCTTGACGTTGGTTCAAATCCAAGCAGACCAAAGTTAATTTTTTCTAAGTATTCTATCTATGTTTAATAATTATAACAAACTAGTTCAGAAATTTTACAAAAAATAATTGAATGTCATAGTCATGAAAGATCCTGACATTCGATAAAACTTAATTAGATTATCCTTTTTTTAAATAAGTTCTAATTTAACTTATAAAAACCAAAACGGTAACTAAATCAGTCCAAGTAGTTTATATCATACCCTTGGAGCAATGACATCTTTGGTTCCTGCCTTAAACTACCCCTCTCCCCGCAGAGTTGCGGTCGCGTCTTCTCCCGCCAAGACTACCTTTACAAGCACAAACTCACTCACACCGGTATTAAAGAACATGTTTGTCCACACTGTGGGTTCAGAGCTGCACAGAGGTCTTCACTCACCGTACACATCAGGTTTGTATGTCGTAGAGAATTCGACTGTATTTTTGTGTGTGTGTATGTTACGCGCTTACTCCGACATTCGTGAATCTATTTCGATGATTCTTATTTCATTCGAAAGGGAGTACCTCAGTGGTGATCCCATTAAAATTCGAAGAAAATATTCCACCTCTAAGTAGGGCAAATTAAGGGATGAATTCGGTTTATTGGATTTCATCCACTTTCCGGTGACAGATTTCAACAAAACTTGGCAAACATATGTTTCCACACACTTTTGAGGTCGGTTTTTTAAATGCTATATTCTTAGAGGATGTGAGGAATATATAAGCAGCGCCACGAGGCCGAAAACTCATTTTTAATAATAAAATATCTGTTTAGGTTACGTAGTAGTTCCTTTTTAAAGAATTAAGTGTAGTTTTAATTTATAAGACTGTATTATTAACTACACTACACCAATATGCATGCATTATTATTTGCCTAGGTTGACCTTTCCCCTTTTCTTTCTTTCATTCATTCATTCATGCGATGATATTTTCCCACCTTTAGAAAACACACTGGCGAGCGCCCATACAGCTGTGACATGTGCCCTCAGCGCTGCGTGTCCAGCTCTAATCTGCGCGCGCATCGGCGGAGGCATCTCGGTGTTAAACAGTATGAGGTATGCTTTAACAGTGTAGTCGGGTGTTTAGTACCTATTGGTACAACGGATGTCGCATCGAGTACCAAATAGTTATTTTTAATACAGTTGTTCAAAACGTGGTATTTTTCGCACTACAAATCGTGCGGAAAGTTGGATTTCTCGCACTAGTGCTTTTTACTTTTCCATTTTTGTTTTAATTTACTGTTGTTTTAAGTCTTAAACATAGAACTAAAGAAGTTGTATATTTATTTAATATTTATGTGCTTTGTGACGTACATAAGTCATTCGTCATTAAAACTTATATTTATTTACAAATACTATATAATGAACGTATCGAGTGGAGGTCCACAGTCTCTGCCTACCCCTGAATTGGTCACAGGCGAGATTTTTATGTATATATTTATTTGTTCTATGTATTACAGATAAATTGTATCTCACTACCGTGCACGGGTTCCTAAAGAAGTTTAAACAAAAGTACCAGGACTTCATAATAAGAAAAGTGGTTACAGACCGATATTACAGAAAATAAACAAAAACAGCACGTTAGAACTAGATTTCCATAGACTTAACTAATGGTTGCAGTGCAGTGGTTGTATTTCATTATTTAAATTTACTAGCAGAAAATGAGTTTTGTTTAAATACTGTTTTATTGTACTTTCAATGTAGTTTTTTCGCAAATGTATTAAAAAACGTCGTTTGATACACGTGCGGATTTGTCATTTTATTAATTTATCATTTTTAATTTTTTATCATTAATAATGACTAACTTTCCGCACTTATATCAAAAATAACTATTTTGTAACTAATTTGTTTTACATTTGACGAGCTGCAATTTACCAATACTACTCTAATTTCTAGTGATAATAAACAAATCAACTAGATGGCGCTTATTGCACAGATTTTTATGGATAGTGCCGGCTTTTATTTATATATTTATTTTGTTTAGGTTTAGCGACATTTACTCATATTAGGAAGCGTTAATTTGTAAATTAGTTTGTAACAAACAATGCCATCTATTGACACGCGATGAGCGATTTCAGAACTTTAAAACGCTCCCCTGTAAACTTGGCAATTTCGACATACGATACTTTATGTAGGAGGGGTCGATTTGTCAAAGTTCAGAACGTAATTTTAGCTCATAATCGATATTTGAATAATATTACAAGGAAAAAAGACTGACTGCACCTGACTGAGGGAAGAAAAGCTTTTATAGATTTCCCATAGATGGCGCTACGGCAAAAGTCGTTGAAAACAAAAAATAAAGATCTGCAACAAGCAACAAGAAAAATTCATAAGATCCGCTAGTTCGTTCCGTGGCTTAGTTGGCATAGCGTCTGGCACGGTTTGCTTTAAGACATTGGCTCGAATCCAGCCGATTCCTTCGAAGGTTTTTTTTTTTCTTTGTATTAATAATTATAACAATCTAGTGGAGTAATGCATTGACTTACAAATAAATGGACGACGGGTCTAATACAAAAACCACGAAAAAAATGTCCCAGGTCAACCTATTCGAAATTTAAATTGTAATGTCATCGCAGTATCGCGCTGTCAGTCGAACAAATGAAGACTAAAGCGGAGTTTGGCGCTCTGTATACGATTTTAGCGCCTTACAAGTGCGGACACTTTTTAGCGCGGACCCGACGTCCATATAATTGTAAGTCAATGGAGTAATGTCACAAAAATAATAGAATATCAAGTCAATAAAAATTTAAGTACAGTGAATAGCAACATCTTTCGCTGTAAAGGTACCTAACTGGGTGACGAAATACTTTCATAGATTTCCCATAGATGGCGCTACAGCTAAAAAGTCGTTGAAAAACCAAGTACAAAGATACGACAACAAGCACATAGAAAAATTCGTGAGGTCCGCTGGTTTGTTCCGTTGCTTAGTTGGTATAGCCTCTGACACGGTTTGCTAGAAGACGTCGGTCTGAATCCGGCCGGTTCGAAGGAATTTTTTTTCTAAGTGTTCGATCTTTGTATTAATAATTATAATAAACTGTTTTGTTAGAACAAATTTCTTATCTGTGAAAATGTTATTATTGCTTAATATTAACATCAAATTTCGATTTGATTATGACATTCAAATCTCGAGTATCTCTGAAAAACAAGACAATTTGCTTCGACCTCAATTCTAATATCAGTCGAGATTAAGTTTTATTCGAAATAAAATGTCAATAGCACACAATTTTGGCAAATGTCACACGTCACTTGATACCGAACGATATGATAGTTGGGGCCGACTCTAGTTTGTCTATGAATTAAATAAAAACTACGGTTGTGTGACAGGCGTAAGAAAAGTTCAAATACTCGTACTTTAATGCCTTTCATTATGTAATAGTTACATAAACTACTATTGTGTCATTCCTTAGCCGAACAATGTCGTTATATACTTTTGGAAGTTTTTGATCCAGCAAAACAGTTTTTCCCGCTTGTCCTCCAGTGAATCGCCTTAAAACTATCGCTTGCCGCAGGCCAGTCAACCCGTGACTATGAAAAGTAACTCATACTGTGGTAAAAAACCTGTAATTAGTGATAATAATGTAATTAAGCTTTTCATTTTCAGTGCAAAATTTGCTCAAAAAAATTCGGCTACAAAATAAGTCTAGAAGAGCACGTAGCCAACACACATGAGCGCGCACAAAACCATACTTGTCAAATATGTGGAACTACGTACAGCAGAGTTCGAGGGCTGCGAAGACATCTCTTGGCGAAGCACGGGACCAAGGTAACGAAAATTGGCAAAAACGTCCGGATAATGGAACAAAACGATCAGATTTCGGAACAAAATGGAAACAATTTGCAACAAAACGGAAATAATTTGCAACAAAACGACCAAATTTTGGAACAAAATGGACATAATATGGAAAATGCTCAGATTTTAGAACAAAATGATACTATAAATGAGCAGAGTTTAACGGCGAATTTGCAATTTCAGTCATAGTTAACTCCGTAATATATTGAATGTTTCTTAAATATATACATATTTATTAAAACAAATTGTTTTTGTTTTATTTTTATTATAACTGCCTCTGTGGCCGAATGGTTACCATCCTGGTCTGTCACGCAGAGGTCTCGGCTTCTTTGTAACTTTGTTAGTAACAATAGAAAACTTAATACTATGTTAGTAAATTATATTTAAAAAAAAAAAGAAATAATAGAAATCAACATAGGTATGGGCAACTAGAATTCATGTCACCAGCCCTTCTTGGTGACATAAATTCTTGTCCAGTGGCACAATATCGGACACGCTACAACCTCCTATACGGTGTTCAGAAAGCTGTTACAGCCACGCATCCTGCTCATGGTCGACGAAACGCGTTTTGCAAGCCTAACGTATTCTATTATAAACGTATAGATATCGGGGTGTTCACACGATATATTTTCATGCGCAATGCACGCAGATGGATCCACGTGTGACGGTGTGACCTCCTTGCATCGTCATCCCAACTTTTTATCGCTTTTCTCCGGTTCCTGGCCACTCGTATCTAAATTTAAATTTTGAATTGTTCCATAGCTCTTTTGCCTCGTATTCTGATTTTGTTTCGTTCCACCGTCATTCCCTGCTCGATCGCGACACCGTACTTGTGTCGACGACACGTATTTGTGTTTTGTAAATATGGAATCGAGCGGCTTCGCTGACCTGCGCCAGTGTGAGTTGAGCCTTACGCTGGCCGTTACTAAAGACACCCCAAATCAGATATGCACGTCAAAGTATATTTAATAGAATTATAATTAAAACTCACAAATAAGATATTTACAATTTTTATTTATTTTCAATAATATAATTCACATTTAGAACAAAAATAAAAATTTCTCTATACTTAATTCACTATTTCTACGTTTAGAAACATGCAAAGAGATAAATTACAATACAGGGGAAATATTAATGTACAGTTCGTGTAGCTTAGCGTTTATTTTTTCTTTCGGATTCTGAAATCGTGTTTTGCCATCAATGTTCTTGTAGTCAGTAGAAGGAATTATTATTTTTTAAATCTCAATATATCGAGGGTCCGGCACTATGTTGCATTTAAGTGTGTATCTTTTTTACCCTGTATGCTTAATCTAGATTCACAATGAACATTTAAAAAATGTGTTCACCCGGAATTTCTGTATTGTTACGCCTCAGTACTATATTACTATCATCATATATAACAAGTTTCGTTCCATGATTTTTTACTAAATTTGATAAATTTACCACAAATGAACTTTTAAGTTGTACCATCTGACATGTTTTAGATCTGTAATTGGTAGTAAGGTGGTAAAGTTCTAACGTACAAGTATTCTCCTTTTGTGCGATAGTGCTTTACCGAAATACAAATTACAAAATACACATAAAATCATAGGGCAAGATAATAAGGACGAGTTACGGAGTATTGTTTCGAAACGTCAATAGAAAAAGAATTGTCACATAATAGTCAGTAGGTACATTAAAAAAAGTATTTGTTTGAAGTGTATTTTACAACGAAAGTAGGTATTTAAAATATCAATTGGACGTAGTTGAACAAAAAGGATCCAATGCACATCCAGTCACCTTCGAAATATGGCAGTTTGAAGTTTAAAAGTGTTTCTCGCTCTTGTTTTATTTTCAAAATGTATAATGTCATGTAACTCCAGGTATATTTATTTATGTTTATGTGTTGGATTTTTTTTACTGATCTAATAAGAGTTTAGACTTTGAACCGTTTGGTACATATAACATATTTTGTTAATTTTATGGATTGGCTCCTTTTTGCTTAACTACGTCCAATTACAAAATACATTTTTAGGGAGTAATTGAAATACAAAATACGTATTTGTATTTTAAATACGTATTTCAATTAGGCTACACCTATCACCGTTTAGAGCGATCTATTTAAATATTTTTATTTTTGTACGAAAGTAAAATATGATGGAACGATTAAAAGTTATGCAATGAAAGTTGTTGCTTCTGATGTTACTAATATCAAGGACCAATAACCCAAAAGGACTGCTGACTGCGATACAACATACCGTAATCTGGTATTTAGTACTTACTGGTGCAACAGATGTCGCGACGTGCACCAAATAGCTATTTTTGTAACTAATTTGTTTTACACTGACAAGCTGTAATTTGTCAAAGCTACTCTTATTTCTAGTGATAACAAACAAATGAACTAGATGGCGATTAAAGAAACATTAGGTGAACACGAATCTTTTTCCTAATGTGTGTGGGACTAAGTAGAAATCTTGCGTAAAAACGTAGCTCAAATTACGTGCAACACATTTCAAATGTCATATTTGTGCCTCCACCAAGAGTTTAACATTCATTGTTGAAGTTACTGACATCCATGGAAAAAAAATTGTATGGCAGCGTCCCCAGTCATCACAAGAGGAAATAAGTCGACTGCGTAAAGTATCTATATGGCAAATTATGCAGTGTCACCTAGAGGTCTTAGGAACTTAAAAGAAAGTCTTTAGCGACCGCGTAAAGCATTTATATGACAAATAGTGCAGCTCCCTTAGTCGCCTTAAGAACTTAAAAGGAAATCATTAGCAACTGCGTAAAGTAATTATATGGCAAATGGTGCACCATCCCTAGTCGTCAAAAGAACTTAAATGATCACTAGAGACTTCCATTTAAGCCCTTGACATTGCTACGAGAACTGCATAATTTGCCATACGCCTTTTACGGTGTTGTTATAGACTTAAGCATTATAAATGTTTGGTGGATGTACCGGGCGTTAAGAGCATTAAGTTTTCATTTCTAAATTTGACAGTATATCATTGCAGTTGATTCTCTAGTAGTCACTTCGCACATTAGTTACTAAACACGATATTTATCACAAAATACAACACAACCATTTTATTCATGATATATTTTAAATGTAGGGCCTGTGTTTTCGTTAATGGACAAACGCGCCGGGATCACGGGTTACAAGGAAAAATCCTTGTTTTGTCTCCGTTATTTTTTTAAATGGAAAATTGTTAGTATCATCTAGATATTATTGCTCGCGGTATCACATGACGAAGAAGATTCTACGCTGGCATATCGCTCTTTAAAATGTTATTGTTTTTTATGAAGATCGGATTCAAGTGTATACGATCTAGCGATTTATTGAATCGATTCATTTCAATGCGAATGTTTAAGTAAATCGATTCAACGTTATGGCGAATCGAATCATCCAGATCGTATTCATAATTTAAACAAAATAATCTCTTTCTGAACCCCTATTTTATATTGCCCTGCAAGAAAGACAGTTTGGCAATATCGAAGTGCATTAAGTCTACAATATTTTTTTTATAACATCAAGTGACTGGGCAAACAAATCGTGCTCCTGATGGTAAGCTACACGCCTGTCCATGACAATGACAGTGCCATTCAGAGCTTTAAATTGCAAAGATCTGAGGGGCACTGCCACGGCGCCCGTCACCCTAAGACATAAGTTGACAAGTCCCATGTGCCTGCAATTTCTCCAGCACCCCTACCTTTCAAAACGGAACACAGTAATGTTGACATTGCTGCTTGGCGGCAGAAATAGGTGAGGTGGTAGTACGTCTCTGGACAAATTCTTTCACAAACAGCTCTACTGCTGCTAAAACTGGAGCTAAACTGCTATTTGGCTAAATGAAAATCGTAACTTACTGAAGCCAAAAAGGTTGGCAAAATTGTTTTTTTTTATCGAAATTAGTTTTGAAACGATTTTGATGAGATCGATTGAAGAGCATATGATCCGATCTGAGGATCGGTTCAGAGGCAATTGATCCATTACGATACAAAAAATCGATTCAAAGCAAAAAATCGTGCATCCCTAGTGCTTGAACCGGGGGAGTCTGGACTGGATTTAACGGTAATAATAACCGTAGCATGATACGTTGGGCGTAACGTGGTTCGGTGTTTGGAATAATTAGTTTTTCTGTAAACAGCTTAGTAAGTGTTAGTAACAGTAGAGCTCCTTGTGATAGAGTTCGTCCAGGGAAGTACTGCCACCTTACCTATTTCTGTCGCCAAACAGTAATGCTAGCATTACTGTGTTCCAGTTTTGAAGGGTAAAGGTGCTGGTGAAATTACTGGCACATGGGACTTGTCAACTTATGTCGCAGGGTGACGGGCGCAGTGGCAGTGCCCCTCAGATCTTTGCGATTTAAAGCTCTGAGTGGCACTGCAACTGTTATGGACAGGCGTGTCGCTTACCATCAGGGGCACGACTTGTTCGTCCCGTCACTTGATATTATACAAAAAACCTGTTATCAACGGAAAGCTATTAAATTCAAGTAAATTAAAATGTTACTCCGCGATTCCAGTGAATATAAAATTTTTGTGTTGAATATTTTTGCATGTACCTTTATCAATTTTAATTTTTCGTCCAACCGTCAAACAGCCAGCAACTGAGAATTTCTCGTGAAGAGGAGAAACACGTGTCGGGTATATTCTTGATTGTGGTATTTGTAATATTTGTATTTGTGGTATCATTAAAAAAATGTTAATCGCAAATGCAGCAATTTTGCACGATTTAACCGCCACTGGGTTCGCGGAGTAGTAGAGTAATTAATTTACTTCCATTTTTATTAATATGGATTTCCGAAAAGTAATGCCTGAATCTAATTATTTAAACGTAGAATATGTCGAGATATGCGAGGCAACTCCCAATAAGTGTATGTATTTTCATGAAATGAATTCTTTTTTGTTTTTTTTTCATCATACTAAGTGATGAAACGAACACGACCAATTGACGGTTTCCCAACATCTTTCGTCGGTGTTGTGAAGAAAGCGTAAGCGTAGATGTTTAAGGTTATAACGACTGTTTTAAAATATTTACGTCAAAACATTTGGAAACGGGAATAAACGCGTTTAATTACGAATAGGTATTTTTCACACCTACCTAGTTTCCCGACGTTTCGGCCCGGTTGCACTGGCCTAGGTCACGGACTGACGTCAGTTTCTAAATATTAGTACAATGCAACGCGAAAGTTTAAAAGTATATATTTACG